TAACCTACGTGGACAAGTTGATAGACGATGTCCATAAGGAGTTCAGGGACAAGTACCGCAACGAGTTCCAGCAGAAAGGAGCCCTGGGCCTCCTAAATGGCACCTTTGATTTTAAAGATGACTTCATGCGCCTCCTCCGGTACAGAACTTGGGTTTTGTCTTAAATTTCTGTTTTGAGCAGAGATGGGAGCGGGGGAAGAGCTGAAATCCAGGCTAATGGGTCACCTCCCTGCAGGGATGCAGAGGAGAGCAGCAAAGTCCGAGCTCCCACGGTAATGAAGACATTTGAGCAGTCTCTGAAATCCCAGAAGACTGTCAAGTGTATGATTGAAACCCGAGGGGAGAAACCAAAGGAGAAGGTCAAGAACAAGAAGAACAAAGGTTCCAAAAAGGATGGTGAGTTAATGGGGAAGATAAATGGGTGGGAAATAAATATTCCAGAGCAATGTGTTGCAGCCTGTGCTTTCCCAATCCACTTGGAGCTGGACTGAGCTTGTGTTTGGGCTCTTCCTGTCAGGAACTGAAGCTGTGGCAGCGCCCACTAAAGCATCTGCGGGTGACAAGCAGCTCTCAGCAGCAGGGGACAAGGAGGAACTGACCAAGGATGAAATCCTGCAGAAGAACCGGGAGGAATTCTTCAGGAGACACATGAAAGCTGGGGAGAAGTCCAGGTGGGTGATGGGGGCATGGTCAGTCTGCCTATGCTTCAAACTAGGCCATGGCTGAATCTCTTCTTTTGGTGACCCCTGGAAGCCAGACCTGACTTGCCTGGACCTTATTTCCCTGATTTCCCTCCTTGCTGAAAAAAATGGAGAGAAGACACCAGGGTGTCCTGGAGGAGTAATAGAACCTGATTTTCTTTGCTGGGACATGCAGAAACCCTGGGAGAGGTCCAGACCTGTGTTTAGTGAGCAGGCAGCAGTAGTGCATTGATACCTGGCTTGAGGGAAGTGCTGCCATACAGGATTAAAGTTCAGATAAATAAACTCTGGAGATCGGATTGGTAAATTTCTGCCTTTTTGGGTAATCCAGGCTTTTATTTTTCACGTCTCCTAACGAGGTGATGGCTGCTGCTTCCCTGCACTGAACACAGTGTGTTTCTGGTCTTTGTTCCACCAGATCTCCGAAGCCCGACGCACAGAAGGAGAAGGGGAAGAAGCCCCGGGTGTGGGATCTGGGGAACTCTAATGCCAAAGTACTTGATTACAGTAATTCTGCTACCAACGGCAGCGCAGAGGCTTGTCCTGTGGAGGAGTTTGACCATGACATGGTAAGGAAAAGTCAGGCTCCATTTGCTGTTGTGCATTCTCTGGGATCAGCTGGGCATTACGAACCCAGCCCTGTCTCTGTGCCTGGATGAGAAGGGATCATGAAGAGACATGAAGCAAGGATTGTGGCACTCAGCCCATAAAGCTGCTTCTTCTCCTTGCAGGCCCTGGGGGATAAAAATCGGGAGCCTGGCCGCCTCTATGACCTGGAGTATGAGAGTGATGATGAAGCTGAAGAGGAAAAAGTTGTTCAGAACCCTTCAAAACCCAGGTAGAGGCTCCCACAGCCCTTGCTTGTCACATGGTTCTTGACTTCTCTTCCATAACTCCTGTTCCAGTCTAACCAGTAATGCAGGAAGCACAAACTGGTGTGTTTGTCCTCTCAGGGCAAGCCCTTCTGCATCTGACCTTTGCAGATTATCATTTCCAAACCTCAGTGTAACTCCTCTGCTTCTCCACAGTGTGAAGAAGGGTGGCCTGGGGGGCATGTTTGGCATGCTGAAGGGCCTGGTGGGTTCCAAGAGCTTGACCAGAGAGGACATGGACCCTGTGCTGGAGAAGATGAAGGATCACTTGATTGGTACGTCTGGATCCATCCCTGGTGTGAGGGATTAGTGGCAGTTCCCTGTGCTCTGTTGGGTGGGCCCTGGTGTGGGTAGTACCCGTGGTTTGGGATATTCTTGCCCACAGGAGCTGTGGTGGGTTCCTGTCTCACCCCTGAGAAGCCCTCGAGAGGGCAGCAGTCAGGTCTGGTGGGAATCCTGCACACTGACTCCATCCTTCCCTTGACACCCATGTGGGATGTACATAACCATCTCAGCAGCACTGACTCCCTGCTCTGTCTTTCTCAAAGCTAAAAATGTGGCAGCTGAGATTGCAGTGCAGCTCTGTGAATCTGTGGCCAAGAAACTGGAAGGGAAGGTGATGGGCACGTTCACCAGTAAGTGCCTGTGTGGCATCCAGTGTGTGGTTTGGAGCTCGGGAGTATTCCCCATGCGTGACGTGTCCTCTCTCCATCCCCTTTTCCCAGCGGTAACCTCGACGGTGAAGCAGGCGCTGCAGGAGGCCCTGGTGCAGATCCTGCAGCCCCAGCGCCGTGTGGACGTCCTCCGCGACGTCATGGATGCCCAGCGCCATCGCCGGCCCTACGTCATAACCTTCTGCGGTGTCAACGGCGTCGGGAAGTCCACCAACCTGGCCAAGGTAGGACAGGACCCTGGTGTCACATTCACCTTTTCTGAAAAATCCCTTTGCCCAGCATTTTTCTCCTAGGAAGCTGAGAAGCCTCAAAGAAAAAGGAAAACAATTTTATCTCATTTGCTTCTCCTGTGTTTTGCTCCTTTGCAATGTGGTTGGAGATAGTTTACTCACAGGTGGTTGTTTCATTGGTTTCTGGTGTGAATTATTTTGACTCAGTGGCCAATCAGGGCCAAGCTGTGTCGAGACTCTGGAGAGAGTCACGAGTTTTCATTATTATCTTTTTAGCCTTCTGTAAGTGTCCTTTCTGTATTCTTTATTATAGTATAGTATTCCTTAATGTAATGTAGTATCATGAAATAATCAATTAGCCTTCTGAGAACATGGAGTCAGATTCATTCCTTCCTGCCTTTGTCTGGGCACCCTGCAAATACAATACCCTGGATCACAGGAGTGGGGTGATGGGGTCAGGCTCTGTAGCTACTAACGGGCTTTTCTGATCTGTTGCCTCCTGCAGATCTCGTTCTGGCTCATCGAGAACGGCTTCAGCGTCCTGATTGCGGCCTGTGACACGTTCCGCGCGGGAGCGGTGGAGCAGCTGCGCACCCACACGCGCCGCCTCAACGCGCTGCACCCTCCGGAGAGCCACGGCGGGCGCACCATGGTGCAGCTCTACGAGAAGGGATACGGCAAGGACGCTGCGGGCATCGCCATGGAGGCCATCTCCTACGGTATGCGCGGAGCTGGGGGCGGGTGGTGCTGTCCTGGGGCAGCGCCGTCCTTCACGCTGCCTCCCTGCCGCCCCAGCTCGGAACCAGGGCTTTGACGTGGTGCTGGTGGACACGGCGGGACGCATGCAGGACAACGCACCCCTGATGACCGCGCTGGCCAAACTCATCGCTGTCAACGCTCCCGACCTGGTCCTGTTTGTTGGGGAAGCACTGGTGGGAAACGAAGCTGTGGATCAGCTGGTGAGCGTGGAGGCTTTGTTCTTGAGAGACAAAGAGGGAAAAGAAACCATTTCTGTAGGTTTTACCAGAGAACTGGATGATGGCAGCACCACAAACGCTTTTCTCGGATTTTTTTTCTCCCTCAGGTCAAGTTCAACAAGGCCCTGGCTGATCACTCCATGGCCCAGACACCGCGGCTCATCGATGGGATCGTCCTCACCAAGTTCGATACCATCGATGACAAGGTAAGGAGGCTGCTGAGGTGACTCTGCACAGAGCTTCTGTCTGACAGGGACCAGAAGGGAGAGATGGGAATTGTTAAACACAGGGCACTCCTGCACTTTCTCCTTGTGTTTGAGCCATTGAACCCAAATTTAGAAGTCTGGTTTCCACACATGGGGGATGAATGAATGACGAGCTCCCTGAGGGGAAGCAGAGGATTTCACAGTGCTGCTTGTCCCCGGCAGGTGGGTGCCGCCATCTCCATGACCTACATCACGAGCAAGCCCATCGTTTTCGTTGGTACCGGACAAACCTACTGTGATCTGCGAAGCCTTAACGCCAAGGCCGTGGTCGCAGCGCTCATGAAGGCCTAAACACCAAATCGCTGTGTGCAGATGTCCCAGAAGAACCTGCTTTACCCTGTCACCAACTAGTCTTTCCCGTGTAGTGAAGAACAGAATGGAGGAATAGCAGCATGAGGAGTACTTTTTTTGGATTAACCTGCTTTTGTCCAGAAAAAGCCCTTCCCTGGGTTCCTCCATTCTGTGTCCAGTGACGCAGGCTCCCTTGCGGGGAGGCCGAATCCAGAGCTTTGTATTGTTCGTGCTGCACGGGGGGGTGGGCGGTGCCAGGATCTGCTGTGCTTTTTGGTGGGTTAGAAGGCTTTTTATTGAGCTGCTTTTGATTTTTAGACCAGCTTAGGGAGGAGGCAGGAGGGACTTTGACTTAGGGGCAGTGTTAGATCTGGCTGTTAATGTTGCTGCTCGTGGCAGCTCCACTGAAGCTGATAAACCAAAAAAAGGTGACGGTCTGTGCTGGGTTGGAGGGGACATGCTAAATTGCCTTAAAGTCCCCCATATCTGTCCTCACCCAGACTCTGAAACAGGGTCCCCAGACACCATGTATTTGGCTAGGAGCTGGAGAGCTGCAGCAGCCAGGTCCAGAGGAGGAAGGCAGGAGGTGTCCTGCCTGGCCCCTGCCTGCTGGTCTTGGCGTTATTTGCTAGTAAAAAGGAAAAAAACCAAACCACATTAATACTGGAAGAGAATGGTGGCTGCTTGCTGCTTTCCTGCACCCTTTCTCCCCGCTCCGAGTGCCTCTTGATCCCGGTTGGAAGTGCTACACTGAGTAATACAAACCTCTGATGATGTCTTGTAGCTCTGTATTGCAGATGTGCTATAGTGCAATAAATTGAATGCTGTCTGCTAAGAGACATAATTTATATAAAATAAACTTCATAATTTGTTCTCTGTGTATAAATAACTTGCCTCCAGCCAGGACCTGTTTCCTACTGGGTTGGGGGGAGATGAACTCCCACCAGTGTGAGATGTGAAAGGGCCTTTAAATGATACAGCAGCCAAAGTTCAGTGAGCAGGCCTTTAATACAACTTCAACATACAAAATACTGTACAGTAAAAAGACAGGACTAGAAAACTAGAGCTTCCAGTAAAAAAAAAAAAAAAGCTCAAGTTTCATTTTTTAATTGAAATACAGAATATAAAAGCACTAGGTATGAAGTTAGAGGAGGCTGCAGCTCCCTCAGGGATACCGTGCTCTGCAGGCACGTGCAGCCCCAGTAAAACCACGATTACTGTTAGACCAGGTGTTCATCCGTGGCAGCTCTGTCCTGGCCTCGTCCCTGCCAGAAGGGTCCTGGCTCGGTGCTGGACAGCAGTGGGACACTGGGGGCTCCGGCCTCCCTGAGGGCTGCTGGCCTGGCCTGGGCCTGTCCCAGGAGCCCCTGACACAGCTCAGGGCCTGGGCAGGGCTGAGGCTCAGGGGCTGCATCCTGCATGGAAGCAAAGGCTGAAAACCTGCCTGGGACTCCAGGGAGCACCACAGGGTGAAGCCCCTTGGCTCCAGAGAGCCTTCCTTACCTTTCACCTCAGCGTGGGCAGTGGCAGAGCCGTTCAGCTGCTGCCCCTCCTTGGGCACACCTGGGGCAGAGCAGAGACCAGTCTCAGATGCAGAGCCAGCTGCCCATGTGCTGGTTTCACACAGGCTTTCCTGGCTGGGTTAACCCTCAGAATACCTGCCAGCAAGGTTCTGGCCACTGAACCCACTTTGCCCCATTTTTAATGATTTATTAGTGATACCTCTTTTATAAAAGCATTGGCTCAGGCTGAGCAGCATGAGGGTCAGTGAGACTAAATGCCCCTTCACTAAAAAGGGAACAAACAGCTGCACATGAAAAACAAAGTTTGGGAGGCGGGCGTGGGAGGCAGCACAGCTGTTTAAACTGTTAAAACATACAGTGTTTTCAGAAAAGTAACCCGCAGATCCTCTAAGCTACACTTAGAGACACATTTGCTTATTTTTAAAAAAAAAAGGCTTCAGGAATATCTACATAGCATGGAGAACGGGGGCTACTACCCCTGTCTACTCTGCATGGTGCCAGCCAAGGGTCCCCCAGCCCCTGGCCCCGTACCTGTGCGGCCCCGCATGGCAATCTCGCTTGTCAGCCGCTCAAAGTACTCGGGCAAGTCAGCGTATTCGTCTCCGTAGGAAATCACTTTGATCCCTTTGTCCAGCATGTTCTCACGGAGCTTCTTGAACTCATCCACATCCCCCCTCCGCACCAGCATGAAGTGCTCCAGGTCTGACTTGTGCTTGACAGCCTCTAAAAACAGGGCCTGAAACGTGGTGTCATCAACTGTCCAACCACAGCCCAAGAAGAGGAAGGACTTATTTTCATACAGCTTCTGTATCTCTCGCTTTAAGAAAGGGAAAGATGTTGGTCAAGGTGAGCTTCATCCTCACAAGAGACAGCACCTGCCCTACCCTTGGGGAGGCTCTGCAGCAATGCCATCCTTCAGCAAGTGTGGGAAGTGTTCCAGCACCTTAGCAGCCAGGGAATTCACCCCTCCTATTTCCCATATCTATTTGATTCTCCCCCTCCCTCTGTGAAGCTCAGTCTAAACTCAGCTGAGCTGTTGACCCAGGTGGGTTGACCCAGGTGGGAGCTGGAGCTGCAGCTCACAGGCCTGGCCCCAGCGTGGCTCACCATGACCTCGGTGTTGCGCAGCACGTTCTGGTAGCCGGCCGGGTGCAGGACGATGCCGCTGGGGTTGGTGTAGACGCCGTGGATGTGCAGGACACTGAGCTTCCTCTTCTCTTGTGCCCACTCCAGCACCTGCACAACACAAACCCGCAGCAACGTCTCTGAGCGCATCACGGTGGTGACCACAGCACTGCTAAATGTAACATTTTGGGGAAACATTCCAAAGAGGCTGCTTCTTTCTCATCTTCTCATTTTCTCTCCTCCATCAGCCTCTACACCATGGCCTGCAGCCACAGCCTGTGGTGCTCGTTTGGGTCAACACTTCAGGTGACTGGTGAATGTGATGAGAAGACTAAAGCAAAATGCCAGATTGACCAGAAAAATGGGAAAAAACTACAACTCCTATGTCAGCATGTTTCTCAAGCCTACCAAGTTTTATTTTGTGGCCCCTACTGGCTCTGAGGGAGTCACCAGCTGAGCTGACCTCCATTTCAGACAGCTGCTCCCAAGGCTCTCGGTTTACTCCTGCAGACCTCAGCTCGTTTAAGCTTGCAATAATTAGAATGCTTACTTGTAACACTGTAAGTACTTTCAGCCATGTAGATTAAGAGGTCACGCAGGAAACGTGAAGCACAGAAATGAGAATGAAAAGAGAGCAAGGACTGCACAGGACAGACATTGGGGGTGTTTAACATGCAAACAGAAGGATGAGATGCTCCCCACCAGTAAAACCCATGATGGAGAGATGAGGTGGGCAGGTGCAGAGTTCAGGGTTTCACAGCGTGACTGGGGCAGGAGCAGGAATTTTTGCATAAAGAGAGTAGCTCTGAGAGAGCAGCAGGAGGAGCCATTCCAGCCATTGCGGGAAGAGGACATGGGGCAAAAGGGGAGCCTCGAAGGCTGCAGCCCTGGACACCCATCATAAAAAGCACTATGCAGCTCCTTATAAAAATAAAAAGTTCAGCTTTGCAGCTCGTGTGGAGTTTCTCATATGGGTTAGAACATCAACCCGAGCCTTATGTGGAAGCAAGGCTAAGCCAGAAGTTTCAAGGACAGAGATCAAAGGAATAGCAGGCTTAAGCACTCCTCCTGAGTACTGGATGGCAGCCAGCAAACCAGCGTTCCAGAAAGGAGCATTCCTCCTCATTCCTCTGCTTGCTGCACTGGACAGTCAGAGCCTCTGCCTGGAGCTTGTCTGCCACCAGTTAAACCACTATAATGAGTACAATGTCCTCAGGCAGCATGAGAGCACATTCTGCACCACCACAGTCCCTGACAAAAGAAATAATAATCTTTACCTTCTTTTCATCAGTCAGGTCAAGAGACTCAAGGTGCTTCCCCTGGTGTGCTGCATACAGCTCCAGCAGGTTATCAAAGTTTGTGGTCAACACAAGGGCTCCATTTTCCATCAAGTGAAGCACAGACTGAAGCAGCTGCTTCCCAGAATCTTCCATTTTGGATTCCAGGTCATCAAACACCTCGTATAAACAGTCCTTGAAAAAGGTTGAGCGAACGTTGCTTGTGCGCTGAGAAGGGGAGAGATTGAGATCAGAGCCAGCCCCGTAACACCTCATACCAAATGACCCCACGAAAAACCACCCACATTTCCCCAACACCCTGCAAAGCTCTGGGTCCTTGTAGGGCAAACACAGAGCCTTGGTTGCACCAGGGTGGGTGCTCTCCTTCAGCATAGTTGTAGGATCACAGAATCCCAGACTGATTTGGGTTGGGAAAAATCTTAAAGCCCACTCTGCTATCTCATCCCACTCTGTGCCAAGGGCAGGGACACCTTTCACTATTCCAGGCTGCTCCAAACCCCTCCAGCCTGGCCTGGAACACTCCCAGGGATGGGGCAGCCACAGCTTCTCTGGGCAGTCTCACCACCTTCACAAGGAAGAATTTCTTCCCAATATCCCATCTAACCCTGCCCTCTGGCTGTGTGAAGCCATTCCCCCTTGTCCTGTCACTCCAGGCCCTTGTCCACAGTCTCTCCCCATCTTTCTTGTCAGGTCCCTTCAGGTATTGGAAAACCACAATTAGGTCACCACTGAAGCCTTCTTCTCCAGGTTTAACAATCCCAGTTCTTTCAGCCTTTCCTCATAGGAAGGTGCTCCACCCTTAAATCATCTTGGTCCAGGTGAAATACCCAAAACCCACGTCCACAGCAGGGTTATTATGTCCAAGGCACCTGGCACAGTAAGTGCACCTGTGGTTCCATGTACATAGAGGAATTGTTGGGATGGGGACACCATTGCTGGAGAACCAAATCTGGCTATTTCCAAAAGCCAAATCCTATGCTCAGGGCAAGTACAAGCACACTGACCGGAGACAGCTTCTGAATAAGGTCGTGGGCAACATGGACCAGGTTCTTGTCTTCGTGAAGACACTTCTGGAACCGTTTGCTCTCTTCATCTTCCAGGAGATCAAAGTCAATAGCAGCATCCAGGAGAGCCTGAATCAGCCCCTTCCAGGACTTCAGCGCTGGGACCTGGGGAGCAACTGCAGCACTAATTCCTGTCCCAATCACCAAAACAAGTTCCCGAGGCTTCTTGGTTTTGAGACTTGGCAGCAGCTTCCTGCAAAAGGAGAAAGGAGCACAGCTGGTACCACCATGAATGGAAGGGTGTCTGGCAGATTGAGGGAGAGGGAGATACCTTGTGCCTGAATTTTGAATCAAATATCCATTGGGGCTCTCTGATAAAAAGGGCACGAGAGGAGCAGCTTGGTATCCTTAAAGGACAGCAGGCAGCTGCATGGATCAGCAGCACAAATGCTCCCAATACAAGGTCCATAATTACAACATTTTTGGGAATCAAATCTGTTACCAGGATGGTTACTGGGGAAGTCAATGATGCCCTGGGGTGCTTCTGCAGCAAAGCTAATCCACTAAAAATCTGGAATAAGGGAAGTCTATTAATAAAAGTTACATGGAGGGCTGGAGGGCATGGGAAAGCATGAGAGACTGAGACACACACACGCTCTGTGTCCCGAGATAAAACGTGTCAGATCCCATGCAGGTCGGAAATGCGACCTGGTTTAAACAAGGTGCAGAACAGGGGCCTTGAGACAACAGCTCCACTTATCCCAGCACAGAGAAAAGCAAGGGAAGGCTTCCTCCTAGCTCTGCCCTGGAGGGGCCCAGCCCCAGTTAGCTGAGGAACCCCCTCAGCTGTACCAGCAATCCCTTCCCTGTGATGCCTGCAATGTCAGCAGGATGCTCCAGGCCAATCTTTTGGAATATCCCAGATGATACAGAGTCACATGAAAGGGCTGCAGGGTTGTATTCTCCTTATTCCTCCTCCCTTCCTCCCTATTTTCCTGGCTTTACACCTGCACAGAGCTTTTAAACATGACCTTTATCATTTATTAAGCAGATATGCTGCTCCTTGCCTTGCTTTGCCTGGTGTCCAGCTGCTTTCTGCAGTGGGGACCTGCTGCAGCTTCCCAGGATTGGAGCAGCAGCCTGGAAAAGCCACTTGTACAGAAGAAATGGGCTTTATCAGCAAACACGTGATATTTAGTGAGAAGGGGAGAGGAAACCAACACCACACAGATGGAGCTGTGCCTTCCCTCAGCCCCTGCCTATGAAAACAGACTTGTTAACCCCTTCCTCGAGGAGGGCTTCACTGCTACTGCTGATAAACAGGGTTTAATTTGAGGACTGCAAGCCTTATGTGAGGAATAAATTAGTATTCAGGCTAATGAGCTAGTATAACAACACTATTGGAAATACAGGGACTGAAATCCAAAATAATAACAAATACCCAAGTCTTAATGTCCTGCATGCCTGCCCTGCTGATAAATGCACTTGTTTCTACCTTAATATCCTGAGCAAGGAAAAAATCATCCCCCAGCATCTCTTCTGCACATTCCAGGGTCACCGATCAACCTCGAGACCACACAGAACTATCCTGCAGCCCTCCAGAACTTGCAAATAAATCAAATTAGTGGGAGACAACCTCCCACCTGAATTAGCTGCTTGTTCACAAGAGCCTTTGAGCCTGCAGCAGCCACAGTCTCAGTCTCTGACAGACTGAATAATCCACCAGTCAGACCCCACTCACAGAACTGTAAGACCACCTACTTCTAAGCACAGGGAGCCTCAAAATGAATTATTTAGTCTTCACATGCAGTTCAACCATACCAATTTGAGTAACTCCCTGTCCTCCTGGAAACCACCATCCAACTCAAGTGAAAAAGCACAACCACTGTGTTCAACCTGACACTGCGAGTGGACAGGACCATGGAGACAGGACAGCAAAATACAGCTATGAGAGCAACCCCGTTCCCTGGCTGAGGGTTAAAACCCCAAAAAAGTACATTCTGGGTGTGAAGGTGTTTGTTCCACAAACAGCAGGAAAGCCCAGGGCATGGCCAGAAGCCAGCACACAGTTCTTGGATCAAGAAACGAAACAGCCACGGTCACCAGGGGTCACAATCCTTAAAGAACAATGCGAGGCAAAGGAAAAGGCTCTTGTTAGAACAAACTCACTGGAGCATAATTAAATTTACCTGGGCTTTTTTGCAGGTGGCATTCCATCTTCCAACAATGTTTCCTTGCCCAGGCTCACCGTAGAAGCCATCCAGTTTCTGTAGTAGACAGATCACCAGAAGCAAAGTCACTGCACAAGGACAACACCACCGGGACAACAAGGTTTTACAGAACCAGCTTTGCACAGGTGGATCAATCTCAGGTTCGTTATCGTTCCAAGATCACCTCTGGGCTGAGAATTGCATGTTTTCGTCTCTGAACTTTGTCCCACAGCCTCATCCTCTTCCTTAACCTCTTTTACCATAAAATCCTTGGCTGTTTTTCCCAGGTGTGATTGCCTCAGCAGAACACACTTTGCCAGACCCTTCGTTTCACCTCAGCCGCTCATTTTCCGCGAGAGCCTGGATCTTGGAGCAGCACTCCCCCCATTCCCGACAAGGCCTGTCAGCAAACTTGCTGCTTGGGAAACAGTGGGAGGGAAGAGAAGACAAAGAGATTTTTGTTGGCTCCAAAAAGCCACGGAGAGCATTTCATTCCCTGGTGATGAGAGAAGGGTTTCCCAGCCCGCTGTGAGTCCGCAAGCACTGGGAAATGACCTTAAAGCCCACAGAAAGGAAGTGCAGTTTGAGAACTCTTTCAACAGCCCGTCACATAAAATACAAAAGCTCTGCCAGCACGCAGTACTCTCCCACTCTGCTTCTCCCAAATAAGTCTATGAAAAGGGAATGAAAATGAACAGAACTGTTCATCCTCCTCTGCTTTTTCCTTGCCAATTGTAATGAAGAGTCCATCAAAAACTCTGTTAGACAAGGGCTTTTGGCCAGAGGAAATGCTGAGGAAGAGCTGCTGACTCAAAATCACAGTGTTTTGGCCATCTCAGGGAGAGCTGAGGGTTTGCTCTAGAGATGACATGCTATGATTGCTCTCTGGCAGCCCAGCAGGTGACTGTGGGCAGGTCTCTCCAGGTAGGACCTGCAAGTGTTGGCATGGATCAGGTGAGAAACCAGCCAGTATTCCAGGAAAGCACAACCTTTCAGCTCTGGATGACGAGAACAGGGCAAAGTGACACTGTCAGACGCTCAGATACGCTGTGTGTGCAGCCTTTACCCTCTGATCCCTTCGGAAAACTTTATACAATGGCATTATGGATTGGTTTGGGCTGGACAGGACCTTAGAGCTCATGTCGTTCCACCCCCCTGCCATGGGCAGGGACACTTTCCACCACACCACATTGCTCAATAATAAATCTTTGTACCAACAGCAGAACACCTCAAAGAGCTGCTTTTCACTACCTACCTCCTGAAACATTACTGAACATGTGCTGCTCATCACATCAAATAATCACCTTTTTATCTTACTGGGCCTTACTGTACGGCCCAGATTTTGGATAAAAGTGTCAAAGGCCCTCACCAAGTGAGGAATCTCCTGGTTTTCCCCCCTCTGTGCATGCCAGGCAGGGCTCCTCCATCACACCCTCTTGTGAACATTGTACCCTGTATTTTTCCAACCCACACTGAGCCCAGGAGCTCAGTGCTGTTCTGACAATGAATCTCTGCAGCCTCATCACCCCTGAATCCCTGCAACCTGTCAGGCCTCATGGTGAACCATTTTGGGGGCTTACATCTCCAAAGACCAAAGCAGTGACTCTCAGGAAGAGAGGAGGAGCTGCTGGACACACATCTGCCAGATTCACCATCAAATCCCTGCTGAGTGAATGCAGCCAAGCACAGTCAGGATAAAGGGGGGAAAAGCCCCTCTTTTTCCTTCCCAGGAGGGTCCCATCTCTCCTTTTAGATTTTTCTGGAAGGACAGGCTGCTTCCACAAAGCCAGCCAGATTTTATTTAGTGGTGCAAAGATGCTTTAAATGAGGCAGGGACTAACAGTAGATAACTGGAGTGTTTCAGAGGGAAGTTTGAGCTCCTGCTGGTGCCAGGTCTGCCCTCAGCCCCGGGCAGAAGCAGAGCTACAGCCAAAGGTAAATCCTTCCTTGCTTTCTAAATTGGATATAATTTAAGCTTATAATTATCTTTGCATTGTGAATCATCAGCTGAGCCTCGAATATCAAGGCTGTTTTGTAAATTCCCACCTAGAGCTCCCCTGTTTGCTTCCACCTGCCTCAGCACTGCTCCCATCTCACTCACCCTGCACATTCCCATGCTATTAACAGCAGGAATGGAGCCATCAAATCAATTTTAAGTGCCTCTAAATGACATTTCAAAAGCAATTTTAAACTTACGAAAAAATACCTTTTGGAATTATAATCACCTTGTAAGGTTTTCTGACATAATGACCTTCAACCTTCAGGTCTATTACTTAGTGGAGAGAGCCATAAAGGAACAAAAACCCCATTATAAATACAGTCTAGTTCCAAAAAAAAGTTATTACAGGTCTTTAAAAGAATTCATGGGGATTCAGCCAAGAAATAGAAACCTCTGGTTTTCAGCCCTGGGGAGAAACTCTGCTTGCCAGAGGGATGGATCGTGCTGGCACAGCTGAGGTAGCCAAAATTAAATGGAATTACCTCAGAGCATGAGACTGCCATGGGAAAAAAACACAGCAGGTACTGCAGGTTCCCCCTGGGAACACAGGTACCATGGAGGAGAGGGAGCCACAGGCACTTAGAAGATAAGAAGTGTCTCTCCAGCCTTCTTCAGACACTGGGAACTTTCCAGCTATTTAGACTACAGGGAGCTGAAGACTGTAAACACAACACTCCATGGATTCCTGGCCAGCTGCCCCATTCCCCTGTCCCAGCCTTGTCCCCATCACTTTTATCAGGGATGGTAAGAGACTCCCTGTGTGGGTTTGCTGTGCTCTCTTTCTTCCTCCACACCACAGAAATCCCTTAATTTATCCTACAGCCTTCCAGACTTCAGCTTTAAACTGTGCCCAAGTCACCAAAACCGGAGAAACCCAACCACAGCAACTCCCTGTGTGACACAGACACATCCAGCTGCAGAAATGTTGGAAATGTGAAGGTGTATCCCAGGTAAAACAAACACCTGAGCACCACGTGTGTCAAAGGAAGGCCGAGGTTCACACAGGGTGTGTATTTACAAAAACCTCTCTGCAGCTCTGCAAAACACAACCACGCCACACAGTCAACACCAGAGCCCAACCTGCAGAACCAAAACGAGGAATTAAGGGAACATTTTCTCCCCCACCTCAAGGAGAAGTCGCTGCTGACACCATCTCCATGCTCAGCACCCAACACAGAACTAAAGCTACACGTGGATGTTTACAATTGAAGCCAAGTGATCCAGCACCACGCTGGAAGATGGGCTCTTCCAGAAGAGCCCCCACAAATTCCCAAAAGAAACAAGTACAAATTTACTGCTCATTCATTATCTTTAGTTTATTTGAGTGCTGAGAACAGCCAACAGCACAGACGTAATTCCCAGCTTCTCTTTCAATTCAGTGGCTTTATGGTGCTGGGGTAAGATAGTGTAAAAGCCACTTTGTTTCAGCTGAAAGTTGAGCTGTCCCTGGCCAATTCCCAAACCTACCCCTCCACATGGGAACTGCACTGGAGCTGGATCAAAACCACCCTAGAAAAACACAGGCTCCAGGGACAAAGGGACCGAGGACAAGCCCTGCTCCTGTCCAAGCCACAAAAACACAGGATTCGGCCTCCTTGGATGTGAGTCAAAACACACCAGAGGTTTTTATTCAACGCTGTGATCCTCCACGTGCTTCCCAATGGCTCCATGAGCAAGGAGAGGCAGTGACACAGCAAAGCCTGGCGGAGCTCTGTATCCCACAGACTCCCACGGACGCACGCTGGTTTTCCAGAACTGACTCTGGAAAGGGAAGCGGGGAGGGGAGGTTCACACCTTCGGGTTTGCTCGAGCCCTTACCTGTGCTCTCCGTTGTGCCCTCCTCGCTAAAGCTGCGGGAAAAGCAACAACACGGGGATTCAGCAGGCGGGGAGACACCGAGGCTCCTTTCCCACGGGGACACATCAATAAAAAACAGCTTTTATAGAGGGCGACGGCGCGGCGGGGCCGAGTCTCAGCCGGGCAGCCCGCCGCTGCCGGAGGTTCCCCGGCCCCCCGGCTCACCCCCGGTCCCCCGGCTCGCCCCCGGCCGCGCCGGTCCCCTTCGCTCCCCTCAGGCCGCTCCGTCCCCTCAGGCCGGCGGCCATGGGACCCCCCGCTATGGCGGCCCCGTCGCTATGGCAACAGCTCCCCCCGCTGTCTCCATGGCAACCGCGCCCTGCCCGCCCCCCGCCGCCGCGCGCCCCGCACGCACCTGGCGCCGCGCGCGCGGCCCCATTGAGGAGACGCCGCCGCGCCGCGCGCAGCCGCCCCGCCCCGCAGGACGAGTTGGCCCCGCCCTCTTCCAGCCCCGCCCTGTCACTGGCTGGCGGCGGAAGAGGCGGGGCCAGGCGTGGGAACGCGGCGATGCTCTCGTGGCGCTTTGCGAGGCTATAGAAGGTGCGGGCGCATGCGCGGTGCAGTGGCGGGCCGGGAGGCGGCGCCGAGGGGGTCCGTCTGTCTGTCCGTCTGTCCGGGCCGGGACCACGGCCGCGCCGGGCCTGTCCGTGTCCCCCTACCCCTCAGGGGCTTCTCCTCCGCCAGCTGCCGCTGCCTGGGTTCGTGCATGTGCGACCGCGTCTCTAGCCCTATGAGGTACATGCGGTGCCTGGGCCTGGACGGCCGCTATGATGCCTTCAAGCATATGTGTGGCGGAATTTGGGTGTACTTAGAGCTTTCCAGGAAAAAATTATTCTGTTTTCTAGGTAGCTGCGCACTGTACTGGCACCGTAAATGAAACATTCGTGGTTTTTAGGGACAAAATTAGCCTTATTTTCTCACCAGAACTACCTTTATTTCACCCTGCCTTGCAGCATGTGGTGTTCACCGTTTCTTAATTCCACAGGCAGTCCTGTAAACCACAGGCTCCGAAACTCGTGCTGCAGGGATTTCAGCAGGGTGCTGCTGCCGTGTCTGCTTAATTACTCCATTAATAATGATTCTGTTATTGCTGAGGTAGGATGGAGGTTGATCCCGATGGTGCTGCCTCTTGGGGTTTAGGGTTTGTGGGTTCACCCTCACTCAGGTTCCCTCTCTGGGGTTTCCAGGTGGGGTGACTCACACAGCCAGGTGACTTGCCCTCCTCTGGGTCCTGTCGTCGGGTGAGGAGTTGATTTTTGGGGTGGTGGCAGTAGGTCAGGGCAGGGACTAATGGGAAATGGGTTCCAGTGGGATGAGTGGTGCTGGGCCCATGGCTGGTGGTAGCCTGTAGGTCCCTGTGGGGCTCAGTACCACTCGGCCTTGTGCTTTTTCCTTTGGGATTTGGCCACCAAGTGGCCAGCTGGTGTCCCCTGCTTGCTGGAGAGAAAGGCAGCCAAGGCAGGGAGTGGGGAGGAGCCCAGTGTCTCTCAGGGAATTCATTGCATTTTTCACTGCATTCATTGCATTCCTCTGGCTGTCAGCACCGTGTTTGAGGGTGGGCTGGGGGCCCTGCAGGAGGATCCTGTCTGCTCCTGCACCCCCAAGGGCTTATAGATGGCCTGGCTTGGGACATCCTTGGGGATGGGGAAGTGTTTATGGCAAGGGGTCAAAGCCATCAGGGAGCCCCCCATTTCACTTGGTTTTGTGTTTTGTGCTACTGTGTCCCAGTCTGTTTTGCTGAAGGTGGTGGGTGAGTAGAAATGGAAATACCTGTGGAAGCCACAGCCAGGTGGTGGCATGGAGGAACATTTGTGTCCAACAGGAGCTTTTCAAAGACCTGTGGGACACAGTAGTGGTGTGGGCATGGGGTCCCCAAAAGCTTGACAGGTGCTGGTGAGTGTTGGGGGATCTCCTGACCTTCAGCCCTTCTTCCCAGGGGGAGAGAAAGCAAACAGCAGTGTGCTGAGCAAGGAGGTGGATTCAGCCCTGGGGCACAGCTGGCTCATGGTGGCATTGATGAAGGGGAGTCTTGACTAGCCCTGGCATGGGGTGTTGAGGTTAAATGGGGTGGGAGGATATTTTTGGGAGTCAGAGGACATGGGACTTTTCCCTGAAGGAAATACTTCCCTTCAGGCATGGAGGTGTGGGGGTTGTTGTTCCCAGTGAACTTGCAAGCAGATGGGGGATGCTGGGGTGTGTTTTGGGGGCAAGTGCAGCAGTCCTGAAATTGGAATGATGGGCACTGGGCACGGACTGCCCTCTGCATGAACACGTTGAGTTAGGTGAGCATGGCCATCTGCCCAGGCCAGGCCTTCAAAGGCCAGTGCTTGGAGCAACCTGGACTGCTGGAAGGGACTTGGAACAAGATGATCTTTAAGGTCCCTTCCAACCCGAACTCTTCTGGGGTTCTACGACTCTCCCTGCTGAGGTGGAGGTGAGGACCCACCTGGGTGGGTCCTGGCCCAGCTCCTGCAGCTTGGGGACCGCACAGTTGGAGCAGTGTACAGTGGGGTGTGATGGCCACCACTCCGCTTCAGGATTAACAGTGAGGGAGATGCTGACCCAGCTTTGTGCTCTGGTCCACTCTGGGCTCACTCTGGAGATGCTTCCATGTGAGTGCCAGGGCCAGCTTCTCTGGGGATCTGAGGTCAGGGGCCTTGCTGTTATCCAGGGTGACAACTCAGATGGGAGGGACACATTCAGCACCAGGGCTGGACCCCCTGGCCCCCTCCTCCTGGTGTCCCATGGGGTGTGGGACACCTCCTGGATCACCTCCACACTGTGCTGGGCCACCAGCTTGGACACAGTGACACTGCAACAGCAGGTGGAGGGTTTAGTGTCCACATCAGAGGTCCAGGCATTGTCTCCTAGGCAGGGAAAAGATGGGGAAATCTCCTGTGCCAGGAACAGCCTGTCAGGGAGCTGGATGGGCCTGCAGGCCCTGGAGACCCGCCACATTCTTGGGGGATGGAACTCACCTGGAGCTCAGCTCTCACAGGGCATTGAGGAGGAACCACCAGGCATTGGAGGGGTTGAGGATGATGAGGAGATGAAGGCAGTGTCAGTTGTTGGCCACCACTAGCAGCACCTGGGGAAGGAGAAATACAGGGGGGATTTTGGGGTGGAAAAAATGACTGCTAGGTAAATTTAACTTGCAAAATAAGTATGAGTGGCAAACATGGACCTGTCTGTATCTAGTCAGGAAACCAGAGAGGAAAACAGATCTGGGTGCTGGTGAGGGCTGGGCACTCTGACACCCAGGCAGTGACGGCATGTGGCGGATGTGGGAGGGAGGCCCTTGGCAGGGCTTGGCTTCCCCTCCCTGCAGTCCTGGCCCATTTACCCCGCCTGTGCTTTCACATTCCCCAGCAGAGGCTGGAGCTGCTGGCAGCTGGGGGCACCTGGGTGTTCAGGGAGCTCCTCCACTCTGTCCCTCGGGAGGCAGGTGGGTGCCCCTGCCCTCCTTTCCACCCCAGGGCAGCTTCACTGGGAATCGCTCCTGGATGTGGCAGCTGCAGGGATGGATCAGCCTCGCCATTCACTGCAGATCCCATTAGACTGCAGAGTGAACATCCTGCCTGTCCTTTCCCACCCAGGTAATCCCAGAAGATCTTTCTTTGCCAAACCCAGGGGCTGATGCATCCCCTTCCCTGCTCCAGTGCTGGACTCCTGCATTCCAGGTAAGCATCCCTCCAACTTCCCCCTGCTGCTCACTGTCCATGCTCATTGTTCCACTCACACTTGGGCTTTTGGTTGTCACTAAGTGGTGACTCTTGGGCACTGTGGTTTCCGTGGGTGTGCTGGGGTTTTGTGGGCATTTCCTGCAGTCCTGTGCCGTTTTTGGAATAGGGGAAAGGCTTCAGCATGACTTGGGGTGTTTCATTTCGGAAGGGGTGATGCCAGCAGTGGAAAACAGCAGCTGTTTGCCATGTTGCTGTTCCTGGGTGTCTGCAGGGAGTGTCTGGGCTCCCTAAACCATGCTGGGAGCACAGTGCTGAGGATGGTGTGAGCTGGCAGGGAACAGACAGGAATGCCAGGGCAGGCAGCACCAAGGATCACCCCTGGGCATCACCACACTGCTTTGGTTTGCCAGCACCCAGTCCATCCCGGGTGATCCCAGCTGATTCCCACTTCTCCCCTCCACAGGATCCTTTTCCCACTGATGGGAATGAGGGTTTCTCATCCCCATTCTCTCTTGGCCTCGGTTGCTGCAGGTGTGTATCTCCAGTGGAGACAGCCAGTAAGAGGTAAGTGTTCCTTCCCAGCACATTTTGGGGAGGCAGATGTGCTGGGGGTGACTTTGGGGCTGTAAGAGCACCCCCGAGGTGCAGATCCCTGGAACAGACTGGGCTGAGACCTGCCATGAAGCAGTTCTTGCTCTCACTTTTTGTTCCTCTTTTCTGCTCTCAGGAGAGGTGTCCTGCTGGCAATCAGTGTCTGAGCAGCGTGCTGCCCACTATGGCTGGTGAGTCTGGGAATAAACCTGGCTCTGTCCCCTCCCTCACAGCATCCCTTCCCCAACAGAACACCAGGTGCCCATGGGCTGCTCCTCACAATGCCTCAGCATTCAGGTGTTGGTGGCAGCTCAGTTTCAGGGACCAGGATGGTTTTGGGGGTCAAGGTGAGATTCTACCCACCCCTTTCTATCTGGGGGCGTCCTGCAGATTGAATGATGCTGTGCTTGGGAAGTCCAGGGGGTGCTGAGCCCCCAAAACTCACTCTGACCTCACTCTGCAGGTTGGTTTAGGAGGCTCCTGCACAAATCCAAGCCCAGCTCAGCGGAAAGCCTCAAGTCCAGCCACTCTGCTTCATCCTCACCTTCCTCCTCCTCATCATCCTCTGCCAAGAGCTCCAGCTCTTCTCCTGGCACGAGCCTGGCCACCAGCTCCATCTCCCTGTCACCTGTGTCAGCAGTGGACATCAGCGCCTCGGACAGTCCCCGGTGGGACAAGAGCTACGACGTCTGCATCTGCCACAGCGAGGGGGACGTGGAGCTGGTGTCGGAGCTGGTGTCCTACCTGGAGGGCCAACCCGAGAGCTTCCGCTGCTTCCTCCAGCTGCGGGATGCGGTGGCGGGGAGCGCGGTGGTGACGGAGCTGTGTGACGCCGTGCAGAACAGCCACTGCTGGGTCATGCTCATAACCCCCGGCTTCCTGCAGGACCCCTGGTGCAGGTACCAGATGCACCAGGCCCTGGCTGAGGCTCCCATGGCCAACGGACGCACCATCCCAGTGCTGAAGGACGTGGATCGCAAGGATTATCCCAGGGAGCTGCGGAACATCTACTACATCTACATGGCGCTGAAGGAGAAGAGCTTCAGGCAGATCAGAGACACTGTCATGCGCTGTGAGTATCCTGTGGGATGCTGGTGAAACGTCAGTCCACTGGGGTGAGGACTATGGGAAGGGACCAGATTCCATACATTTACTTAAAGTTGATTTTTAGAGTAATTGTTTGCTAATGGAGCTCATCTGCTGTCCCTGCAGACCTCCAGGAACTGTGCCGGAGCTCCACAAAAAGCATGGAGTAGTGCTGGAAGCAGGAAGATGCATCTCCATAGGCATCATGGAGCTGTCGCCATTGGATCTGGGTGTTGGCATGTCCCATTGGACTTTGAGGTCAAACCTGAGCTGCTCAGACCAGACCTGGGACCAAAGATAGGGAGTTCTCCGCATCCATGAGGGACAGCAGACCGGAGCCCACCACGTCCTGGTGGCCAAAATCTCCTCAGCAGGGACAGGGACAGGGACATCCATCACACAAACACTAAGCTCTGTTACCGGGTGGTTCTCGGGGTCATGAGAGCTCTTTACTGTGCTGGCATTCTCTGTCCTGACGGTCCAGGACCCCTACTAAGCTGACAAGACACCTGCTGGGCACCTGTGGGCAGGACAAGATGAGGCAGGCGGTGCGCTGCACGGAATCGTTGCGACTACGAAAATGCAGAAGTTTTAAATGTTGGTGGTTTTCCGTGATTTTGTCTCAATCCCCGGTTCGGGCATTTGTGGGAGAAGGAGCAGCGGGGGTGCGCGACCTCCGAGCCACCAGGGGGCGCGATGTCTCAGCGCTCCCCGAGGCGCCGCGCGTGCGCAGTGCGGGGGCGGGCGCGAGCTATGGCGGAGGGCCCACAGCCGAAGAGGAAGCGGGAGGAGGAAGAGGAGAAAAATGGCGGGGCTGCCACTGAAGGCGGAGCCGCCGCCGCCTTCACGCTGTCGGACCTGCGGGTGCGGCGCGTCCTGCGGGAGTCGGCGAGGGACAAGATCGTGTTCCTGCACGCGGAGGTACCGGAGAGTGGGGGGGGGCGCTCGCGCCCGCCGCCATTTTCCCCGCTGAGGGCACGGCCCCGCCCCCGGCGGCGCGCTCGGGCAGGCCCCGCCCCCGGCAGCGCGTGCCGCGAGCCCCCGGGCGCCCCCGGTCGGCCCGGCCCGGCCCGGCTCGCTTCGCTTTTCCAGCCCGGCGCTGCCCGAACCAGGCGGAGCTGGCGGCCGTGGAAGCTGCTGGAGACGTTATTGCAATCCTCTTTCTTGTTGGTATGATCTGGTGCTTTTGGATTCCAGCACGTTGTTCGTGCTTAGTAGGTAAAGTGGCACTGGATTGCCAGCAGCGTGCTGATTCTGGGACTAAATAGTACAGCCATTACGGGAAAATGTGCAGTAATTCTTGGGATTGTGCATGGTGAGGGAACCATGCAGCTGCCTCGGCCTCTGTCTCCTGAAGATGTGCAGCCAAGCAGGAGATGAGGATGGGGAGGTTCCAGGCTGCTTCTTTGGTCTGGGGTCGGTTGCTGCTGTAACTGAACTGGGCACAGACCTGCTCTGCCCTGTGAGCGTGTCAGGAAAATCCACAAACGCCAGAGGTTTATATTTAAAACGAGATAGAGGAGTCCTTCAGCTTTATTCGAATGCCGTGAGAGAGTCCACTGGGCCACATGCCCGCAGGATTTTTTTTCTCTCGGGGTTTTGGAAGGCAGCCTCCCTTTTATCCTAACTCCCGGCCACATGTTGCTCTCTTCCTTTCCCCGTTGGCTGAGTTACTGGGGAGATACAGCCTTCCCGAACCGCCTACCCCACATCCCCCCTTAAGCTTGTCATTTTCCCCCAAAGTTCAGAAGTTCAGGCTAGTGCAGACCCGTGTCTGATTCAGGAGCCAAACTGCCCAAAGTCAATAGAGACATTAAGACCCATTTCAAAGACATTAACACCTATCAAATTGTTTGTAAAGGCATTAGCACACGTCTTCCTTCTCAGGCTGACAGAGCTGGGAGCCCCAGGTGATGTGGTGAGGCCTCACCTGAGTCTTGTTCAGACAGCAGTGAGGCTGGGGGATGTTCCACACCCAGCACCCCTCAAAACCAGCACGCTGAGGCCACTGGATCGGGAGCTGTGGTTCCTTGGAGCAGGGCAGTAGTAAGTGCCCCCTGCCCCAGAACTTGCTCCCTGACTGTGATGCAAATCCCCACGCCTGCCTTTGCCCTCTTCCTGGGAAGCATCAGAGATGAAATTGGTGTTGTGGGTCAGCAGGAAACCTGGGAGCATCCGGGGAGGTGCAGATGGCCTGAGTCATTGCCCACATCCCCTGCTCTCCCAAAAACCACCTGTGCTCCCTGGTGGGGAGCAAATTCCTGCTGTGCTTCCGACCAAATGTGCTGTTTGTTTTTGGATGAGTGTCTGGCCTGCTGGGGGACTGTGAGGTGTCTGCCATGATCCCTGACCTCAGACTGTCCACCCACTGCTGGATCTGTGTTGCTGATGACCTTATCCATTTGTATTCCAGAGGACTGGCCTCTCTGGAGAGGGCACAGATGCTGTAGTCATCTTGGAAAAGACTCCTTTCCAGGAGGAGAAGATCCCAGACCTCCTGAAGAAGCCCATGCACACAGAGCTGCAGATGCAGAATGACATTTACTGCACCTTCTACCTGAGCCCTCCCCCGGAGCTGAGTGGTGAGTGCCCTCAGCCCTGCCCAGGGATCCTGGGGGGCTGCTGGGATGCCAGGATATGGTTCCTGCCCATTCCAGAGGAGAGGATGCAGTGAGGTGGGCAGGTGGCACTGCTGGACCTGGCTCTGCCACCCCAGCTGTGGTTTGGTGACAGCAGCACACCTGGCCCAGGTGGGGAGGTCAGTGGGCTGTTGCCATGCTGAAGGCAATGTCTCATCTGAGGCTTTGAATGCTGCCCTCTTTCATCCCCTTTTTCCCATCCCATGGCAGGGGGCTCAGCTGATGAGGCACTGAATGGCCATCACTTGATGACCTTATACATGAAGGTGCAGAAAGGCTCAGGGGTGTGAGGGCTCTTTGTGGGTGATTGTCAGTGCTCTCAGAGCTCTTACTTGGGTGAGAAGGAGTTGTCTCCTTCCAGAATGTTTCTCCTGAAACAGTCTGCAGGGCACATGCAGCTGCTTTTCATCCCATGGTGGCATCTCATGGGCTTTTTTGTCACCTGGTAAGGACAGGCAGTTTGTATTTGGGGGGGGGAGGATTTAAGTGCTGACAACCTCAAGTGCTGGGGCAGATGAGCCCCATCCCCCTGAAGATTTCACACATCTCTGTGTTACAAAACTGCTGATAACCAAGTATGACAAGGACTGATGGGCAGGTTGGAGAGCTGCAGTGGAAGGCTCTCATCCTGTGGAGGGGATTCTGGTCCCAGTGGGAAGGTATGCTGCAGTGGTGGTGCTTTCCAGTTGCCACTGGAAAGCTAGGCTGGTCTTTGGGCACTTCATTTTAATCACAGAATCCCAGACTGTTTTGGGTTGGAAGGGACCTTAAAGCTTATCCTGTTCCAACCCTCTGCCATGGCAGGGACACCTTCCACTGTCCCAGGTTGCTCCCAGCCCCACCCAGCCTGGCCTTGGGCACTGCCAGGGATCCAGGGGCAGCTGCAGCTGCTCTGGGCACCCTGTGCCAGGGCCTGCCCACCCTCACAGGGAATAATTCCTAATTCCCAATATCCCATCCATCCCTGTCCTCTGGCAGTGGAGCCATTCCCTGTGTCCTGTCCCTCCAGGCCCTTGTCCCAAGTCCCTCTCCATCTCTCCTGGAACCTGTTTAGGCACTGGCAGGGGCTCTGAGCTCTGCCCAGAGCCTTTTCCTCCCCAGGCTGAACAGCTCCAGCTCTTCCCAGCCTGTCTCCAGAGCAGAGCTGTTCCAATCAGAGCATCTCCATGGCCTCCTCTGGACTTGCTCCAGTGGCTCCATGTTCTTCCTGTGCTGAGGACCCCAGAGCTGGAGGCAGCCCTGCAGGTGGGGTCTCACCTGAGTGGAGCTGAATCACCTTCCACAATTAATTCCATGTGAATGCTGGTATATATTTAAATTCCAGAAGTGCAGTGATAAATTCCACGTCAATGCTTTCATGAACACAATAACAGCCAAACAGGTTTAATAGTCAAAACTAATCTGAGTCCCTTAAGTAATATGTTGTTACAGGGCCAAGTTAAATTTTCAGGATGTTTGATGTGCCTTTCCAAAAATGCTCTTGTTTTAGCTCTGTTCCCACAGTGTAGGAGGGAGCACTGTCTGGATTTGTCAGCTTGAATTGTGCAAAACTCCTTTCTCCTGTGAAGGACTCAAAATTAAAGATTTTTTTGTTACAAATTGTGAGTTTCAGTCTGAGGAAAAGACCATAACACCACGGGTGTTGTTGGAAGTCCTTAAAGCTCCTCTTTCTTAGCTGGGAAAGCTCCTACTTGGGTGCCTGCTGTATTCCAGCCCTGCAGGAGTTGCAGTGATTCCCACGAGGTGGCATTGCAAGACTGAAATCCCCTGGGCTGCCTCCAGCTCAGCCCTGCTTTGCCTTCCTCACAGCACTTGGCTGCAGTGCTGTGTAACTAACACCACATTGCTCTGATAACAGAATTGCTTATTTTGTTTAAGGCTTGTGCCAGGTGCAAAACCCCTCCTGCATGTTTGAATGGGGAAGAAGCCTCTGGCTTTCTTCTGCTGGGCTTTATCTTTTTAATGACTTTTATATCTGTCTTTAAAAGGTAATTTTTTGCAATATTTGTAATATTATCCAGTGGAGCATCTTTGCTTCCCACCCTTCTCCTTGGCACCCCTCAAGTCGTTCTGGATGCTGAGCAGCCCCAGGCAGGAGATCAGGAGGGGGCTGTAGACCCTGGAGCTGCTGTCCAGGCTCCCTGAGTCAGAATGGAGAGCAAGGAGTCTTCTTCGTTGAAGCAATTAGCAGCAAATAGCTGTTTGGTGGGCACATTGCATGAGCTGCTGGTGAGCAGCTGGCAATGGGCAAACAGCCCTGTGTGTCAGGAGGGGAAGGAAATTACCCTTTGGAGCTGAGTCAGCCCAAGGATGTAGCTGATATGAGGAATGTGGCTTAAAAACCTAAACAGGACGAATTGCCTGTAAGGCTGCAGTCAGGGTTTGACTGACCTGGGATGTCCAGTGATAATGTGGAGACCCAGGGAGTCCTTGCACAGGGTCTGTTGGCTCCTTAGTTGCAGGGTTAGAGTTACAGGGTTTTATCTCCTGGTCCTTGCAAGTTTACACTGGGGTACAAGATACAGTAAAATATTTTGTAGAAAAGGTCAGACTGGCATTAAGCAGTTTCTTGGAACAGTCCTGTGTTGTGTGATGAAGGAATTTACCTGGGGGATTTCACAGCACCCTGGGCAGCTGAACCCTGCCACACTCAGCCTCTTGCTTCTGAGGTAAGATAGACCTCGAGACAGAGGAAGTGGTGACTGTGAGTGACTCGTGCTGATGCCATGAGGAGCTGCCTCCAGAGCATGTTTCTCAATGCTGCCTCTGTGCTCCCAGGTACCTGGGGCTCTTCATTCAGCTGCAAGTGTAGACTTCCTTCACTCTTTCCCCACCTCCGTGTTGGCCAGCAGGACCAGGGAGGTCATCCTTCCCGTGTACTTGGCAGTGATGAGGCCTCACCTCGAGTGCTGTGTCCAGTTCTGGCCCCTCAGTTTGGGAAGGATGTGGAGGGTCCTGGAG